TTAGAATAGTCTGCTGCCAGGCAGAGGGTCCGGGTTCAACTATCATCTGAATGTCACTATTGTTTCCTCAACTTACTTTTTCTCGTTTTGAGTGAGAGTGGTTACTGACACCGGCGGTGCCAACGGGAGACGCAGCGGCCGACAAATATGCCATTGTTGTGGTGGTCTCATAAGCACTATTGTTCTAAACTCTACTCTGGCTACTTGCCAAAACTTTTCAACGGAAATGCTGACTAATACACTATACGTCTTACCTTTTACAGTAGACGCAATACTATTGTTATCTGACCATGTTCCCCTTGCCTTCTAAATCGGCAGTTCCGTTTCACTTTTTGGTGGACAGCCTAATCGTGCCACACTGAAATGAGTGTCTGAGCGCCTGTGTTTGGGCTCTTTTAAACTATGCTAGAATGCCTACTGCAAGTCGAGCTGGACAGCGCCCACCCCGGCATAACTCTTTTTGGCGAGCTCGCACGATACCCGCCACGGGCCTGGGAGAGAACAAGCGCACCTTGCACAGATGCACACTTCTGTTTCCCTCGTTGACAACGAAAATTCTAATTATGTTTGCGGTCTTTTATTTTTGATGGTGCTTGAGGCCAACATCTCATCGCAAATTCACATTGTTTAACGCCTGCTGTGATCGTACGCTGTTTCGACGCTTTATTATATGAGTTAATTGTACTCCTCGCAGCATATGACTTCATAGTAGTTTATTGTTGCTATAACAAGTAAATTTAAATATGTGGATATTCTCAGAGGAATTTTGAGTTGATGTTGCAGCCATGGCTCGTACACACACACATACACACATTATATATATATTGTAGGCATCTATTATGCACTTCATTCTCATCTGAACAGCAGTCAATCATCATCATATGTTCTGGCTGACAATCATCATCTGTTTGGCACGAGCGCTTCTTTGTCGGGTCCGTTGCGCTTGTTCGTTCCCGAGTTCACGGCCAATAAACCTCGCTACAACCGAGTCGTCATACGTGGTGGAGGTGGATTGACGTTCCCAGTACCTCTACTTACAACGCCTACTCGCTGGAGCTCTGTTCAGGCCGCCGCTTGGACCCTCAGTGCGCCAACATGTCTCAGAGTGAGTGGGTGGATGCCCTTTCGGCTCCCGTCTCTGCGCCGCAAGCCGTCACTGCGCCGCAAGCCCCTCCTCTTTACATCGTAAACCACCAGCGTGACCCTCCGATCTTCGCTGGTCTCCGCGGCAAAGATGTGGAGGACTGGCTCGATAACTACGAGCGGGTAAGCGCAACTAATCACTGGGACGACTCTAACAAGCTCCGCCGAGTATCGCTTTATCTCACGGGCGTTGCCAAGACATGGTTCTTGAACCATGAGATCGACCTCACCGACTGGCCTGCCTTCAAGCAGCAGCTTCGCCAAGTATTCGGCACGCCAGCCGTTCGATCCGCTCTAGCGAGGAGGGCCCTAGATACTCGCCAACAACATCCCGGCGAGTCATACACATCTTATATCGAGGATGTCCTTGCGCTTTGCCGGCGCGTCAATTCTTCGATGTCCGAGTCGGACAAACTGCGCCACATCCTGAAGGGCATCGGAAGCATTGCCTACAATGCCCTTGTTGCCCAGAATCCTTCTACTGTCACGGACGTCGTCTCTACGTGTCAGCGTCTCGACGAACTTGATTCTGTTCGCCTTCAGTCGGGCAATAGTGAACACCTTACAGCAGACCGGGACCTGCGTGACATGATACGGGAGATCATACGAGAAGAACTTCAATCAATGGGCATCTCACAACCTTCTCCATTTGTCACACAGCCTTCAAGCATGGCCCTCCGTGACATCGTAAGGGAGGAACTAACATCATTCACCGGTCCAGCCTACGTCCAGCCACCTCCGTCTAGCCCTCCAACGTACGCGCAAGTTGCGGCCGCGCCTCCTCGCAACGTAAACTCTACTTCACCGCTGCCATCATTCACGCCGGTTGCTGCTGCACCACCGGTCCACTTCCGGCCAATCCCACCCAACCCTCCGTCAGTCCACTTGAGTGCGCTATCTCCCGGTGTGCCGAACGACCTCTACTACCCGCCTTGGCGCCCGTCTCGCCCAACATGCTTTTACTGTGGATATCGTGGCCATATATCGCGCTTCTGCCGCAAGCGCCAGCAGGACGAGCGTCGCGGGTACGACATGCGCGAACGGGACTTTTCCAGAGGGGATTCTTACGCTCGGCGTTATTCATCTGGACAGCAGCGGTCTCCATCTCCGCCCGCGTCGATTGAGACGCGGAACACTTACCGTTCAAGCCGACGCCGATCACCTCCTCTCCTCTTCGGCCAGCCTCGTTTACTACTGATAACCGGTCGGAAAACTAAATGACGCAGTTTTCGGAGGAGAAACTGCATGTAACAGTAGGACACATATTCCTCCAGCACGCCCGTTCAACATGGTTTCTGTTACGGTGGAAGGAGTTCTCGTGGACGCTTTGGTGGACACCGGTGCTACAGTTTCTGTGATTAGGTATGATTTGTGCAAACGCCTGAAGAAAGTAATGACACCTTATAATGGACCCAATCTAGTCGAAGCCCAGGGGAACGCTATCCGCCCTTTTGCTCTTTGTACTGCTCGTGTGTTTATTGATGACATTTTGCATTACATCGAGTTCACTGTGCTTACCCGGTGCTCTCACCAGCTAATTCTAGGGTGGGACTTCCTATCTTCTTCTTTAGCCGCTATATGTTGTGGTGAACGGATTCTGCACCTAACTAATACGGACTCCATGTTCGACGAAGGCGTCTACAAGCCTCTACGCCTGTTCGCTCGCGAAGATCTCGAAATACCGCCACACCAAGAACGAATTGTGACCCTGATCTCTAAGGACATCGACCACGGTGACGTCTTGGTGTCCCCTTCGTCGACTTGCGTCGCAAAAGGCATAGCACTTGCATCAGGTGTCGTACGCTTTCACCATGGCTCCGCGCTCGTCATTGCTACGAATGAAACGCCAGAGAAAGTTCTCCTGCCAGAGGGCACTGCAGTAGCCTGTGTTGTGGGAGATATACCGAGAAAATACAGTCTGCATAGAGTGGGAAGGAATGCGTAGCAAAGAGAACGTTGAGGTTAGCAGGGGTCTGAGACAGGGATGTCCTTTGTCCCCGCTGTTATTCATGCTGTACATGGTGAGTATGGAAAAAGCGCTAGAAGGTAGCAACATTGGTTTTAATCTGTCACACAAACAGGGCGGCTTGATGATTGAGCAGAAGCTTCCAGGTTTATTTTATGCGGACGATATCGTCTTATTTGCGGACAGTCGAGATGATATACAGCAGCTGGCGAATATATGCGGAAGGGAAGGTGAAGCTCTTGGACTAGGATTCAGTGTAACGAAGTGTGGATTGATGGTATTCAATGATCCCTGTGATCAGACGGTGTCCATACAAGGCCAAGAAATACCGAGGGTAAGTGAATACAAGTACCTTGGAGTATGGGTAAATGAGAGTGATAGATACATGGAGGTACAGGAAAAAGCCTCGGCAGCAAAAGGAAAGAGGAATGCGGCAATAATGAAGCACAGAGCGTTGTGGGGATACAATAGGTATGAGGTGCTTCGAGGTCTGTGGAAGGGTGTAATGGTTCCAGGGCTTACTTTTGGGAACTCAGTGGTGTGCATGAGGGCAGAGGTGCAAGCGGGAATGGATGTAAATCAAAGGACTGTGGGACGCCTCGCGTTGGGTGCTCACGGGAAGACGACAAACGAGGCTGTAAAGGGCGATATGGGGTGGGCAGGTTTTGAGGCGAGGGAAGCGCAGAGCAAAATAAGGTTCGAAGAAAGGCTAAGAAATATGAAGGAGAGTAGATGGGCAGAGAAGGTGTTCCGTTATTTGTATAGGAAGAGCGTGGACACACAGTGGAGAAAAAGAACTAGAAGACTCACTAGTAAGTATACGGCTGGTATTGTAAGCCGTATGTCAACAAAGAGCGTTAAGGGAAAAGTCAGGGAGGCGGAGAGGATTTACTGGATGGCAGCTATGGAGAAAAAACCGGCTTTGAGTAACTACCGAAAGGGCAAAAATGAAATAAGGAGGGAGGCATTTTACGATAATTCAAGGGGAAGCGCTTTACTGTTTGAAGCGAGATCGGGTTGCCTTAGAACGCGTAGTTATAAAGCAAGATTCAGTAAAGAAGAAGAACAATGCACATGCTGCGGGAAAGATAAGGAAACGGCGGAGCATGTTCTGATTGAATGTGGAGATATCCACCCAGGTGTACGTTTGGGCACGAGCCTACAGGAAGCCTTGGGTTTTAGGGACAACAATGGAAAGCTGAACACACCCGCGATTGAAATAAGTAAGAGACGGTTAGAGTATTGGTGGCAGAAAATTAGAGAGAAAGGACAAAAATAAATATTGGAAAAATAAAATATGGACAGTGTGCCGTAAATGGCAGAGAACTTAAGCTGAAAATTTACCTTTTTTTCCATTAAGATAGAATTTATCGAAGTAGAGGCATTAGGCCAACATAAAAAGAAAAAAAGTTTTTTTTTGTCGAGCCTGGTGGCATACTTGTCACCACCCCGTTATAAAGGGGACGCTCATAGCATCCATCCATCCATTGTGGATGCTGAGCCTGTCAGCATCACGCCACTTAACCCTGCCTCTACCAACGACCGTTCTATGAGTAAGCCTGCCTCATCCTCTCCCTTCACAGCTCTTATCAGTGATGACTTAACAGCTATGCAGGCGCAGCAGTTGCTTGCGTTATTAACGAAACACGCCGATTCTTTCGACACCTGCTCTTCAACGTTGGGCCGAACTACCACTGCAGCGCATCGCATTCAGACGGAGGGAACATCTATTGTTCATCGCCGCCCGTACCGCGTGTCTCTCGCTGAGCGAAAAATCATCGAGAAAAACGTCGCTGACAAGCTCCAACGAGAAATAATTCGTCCATCAACTAGCCCTTGGTCATCCCCTGTTGTTTTGGTACGGAAAAAAGATGGCTCCGTGCGCTTTTGCGTTGATTACCGGGCACTTAACAACATCACACGCAAGGACGTATCTCACAAGACCCAAGATTGCGTCTACTGATAAAGGTAAGACTTATAGTGTATTAGCCAGCATTGCCGTTGAAAAGTTTCACCAAGTAGCCAGAGTAGAGTTTAAAAACATTAGTGCTTATCCGACCACCACAACAATGGCATATTTGTCGACCGCTGCGTCTCCCGTTGCCACCGCCGGTGTCAGTAACCACTCTCACTCAAAACGAGAAAAAGTAAGTTGAGGAAACAATAGTGACAATCAGATGACAGTTGAACCAGGACCCTCTGCCTGGCAGCAGACTATTCTAACACAGCCAAGGTGCTTTTTAGGAGCGAAGCTCCTTAGTCTTGCGCGATGTCCGTTGTCGCTATTATGTCCCAGTCGGACTGAAATACATGTGTTACATATACGTTCATGTAACGTTGATAGTGCGCATATGGTTTAAACTAGACCATACTCTGTCCGCCCGACCATCCGTTCATCTGTCCGACCATACGCCCCTGTACATGCTGCTAAACGGGTTCTTCTACGTTGTTAACCAGCCAGTCTTCTCCATTTATCAATTTCTTTCTCGCTCTACTCCGAGCTGGTGGTGACGCAGCGCGGTGAATGCACCCGAGAAACGCAGAGTGAGTTGTCGCGAAAATCTGTACACTGCATGGGTGCGGCGAAACATAAAAAGTGGCCACCTATCTGCATGTTATTCTGCAAATGTCGTCAAAAGACGATAGTTTCGTGCGTGTAGAGAGTGAACAAAACATATATTTGATGTTTTGTGCAAGAAAATCGGTTAGTGGTAGTTTGGAGGCGCTGTGTTAGAGTGCCTCGAGTGTGACGCGGAGGTGAACGAGCGCATCATGTCATGTCGCACGTGAGACATGAGCGCCATCTGGCAGTTTTCTTAAAGAACAAAGCGTTCAGCTCTGAGACGGGCGTGCGCGCCTGTCTCAGAGGTGATAAAGTGTAAAACGCAAGGCGACGGGTAGGGTGCCACCAACGTGTCGTCTTAGCAAAGCGTTGGAAACACTGCCCGTTCTGTGCAAGCATTTCATTGTCAGCGCAGCGTGATAAACGCTATGGTCCTTAAAATTTCTTACGTATGCTTTTTCTGGTAAAAGATGCACATGCAGAATATACACGTGTTGGTATGGAGTCTTAGATATGCGCAATAATTGCTATTTAATTGACAATCACACAAGTATGAACGCTGAATTTCGAGAAACATTGTGGGTACTGTGGATGGGGTCGGCTGTTTGGGGTATCGTCAGCTGAAGTTTACTGTATCTGGTACCGTTAAAATTGGACAAAAAGACAAATTTACAGACAGACAGACAGACAGACAGACAGACAGACAGACCAAAATTTTTTTGTCGAAGCCTTGGCGTCGATCACTTTTAAAAGCAGCACCACACGCATTCATACGTGTATATCTAAAAGGCCGATGCATAGTTCATGCAAAATTGAATTAATCAAACACGACACAACCGTCAACATGGCAGCACGAATGCGATTGGGAATACTGACTGACCCAACATCGAGGAGGAGTGTCAGTTTTCTTGACAGTGATTGCTATCACACAAAATGTATATCAGCACATATAGCCTGCATCTCCCACGTGATTGTACCTTTTGCAGTTTAAGTGGTTTGCACGAGGTATCCGTGCCTCTGTGGTTGCTCTTTCGACGTATATCAGTTCATCATAAACGCCTAAATACTGTGCTCTGTTACTCGTCTATGTGTTAACATTGCCCTAGAGTGTATGAGCCAGCGTTTCCGTTGGGTAGTTTTGCCAAGTAGACAGACTAGCTATGTTATGTAACTTAATCGACAAATTTGTATCCAAGTGGAACAGTAGTAGTGATATGCCCAGAGCGTTCATTTTTTTTTGTTTTTGCTGTATTCGATTTACGCGCACAAAAACTGTCAGCCACTGTCAGCGCGACCCACGACTCAGTATTCTGGAAGCTTTACTATTGTAGTAGACTGTTCTGTCCAGATTATGCGCACAACGCGAACATTACAGATTCTTACGTTGCCGCTAACGATAACGCTGGAATATTTGACGGCATCTGTATAAATGCCAATCCACCTCACCGTTTGTCAATTATTGGCGGCAAACACTCTGTTCGCCGCTACCAGTCCCAATGTGTCTCGCTGTAATCTGACCTCGCATTCACCGGTGACATATTCAGCCCAATAAGCAGTTTCATGTTCGACCTTCAGTCTGCTCCTTTCATTGAGGTCACGACTCTGTGATAATATAAATTAAATTCTTATTATTCAACAATAAACAACTCTATCGTGAATAATGCAGTGCATAGATTTAAGAGCACAGTTTATCGCTCTTGCTCGGTTTTCAAGCCGCAAATGAGATTCATATAAAAAAATAAATTCTATTTAATCCGTTCGCCAGACGTATAGTTTGTGCAGAATAGAGTTCTCCAACCTAGAAAAATTTCGAATATAATCTAGCAAACCAGTCGGAGAGAACATTAAAACTTGAAGCAGCTTTGCCTTGCAGCAGCAAATTCAATTTGATTGCTGGTGCTTACACCATACTGGTCCAGCTCCAAATTGTCAGCTCTGCCGTCAGCTTCATCTACCTGTCTTATCTGGTTAAGGTGGACACTTCGGCTTGGTGTTGTCGCAAATTTCTGTTTTTGTCACCTTCACATGTCCAGACATTGCATTCAGAGACACTGGTATGTTGCACCACTATGGATATTGCGCTGCACGAGCAGTGTGCTAGTTACATGTTGGCGAACATGAACTGAACTTCGCCATTTCGTACTTGCAGGTGCCCCGCGCATCGTGTTGGAGTTCCCCAGCACGCACCCCCCTTCTGCTGGGTACGACGTCCACGCATCAACTCAGCTGGCCGCCAGCTGTTGTAATGCTGCATACTACAATAAATAACTGCTTAATATGCCAAACTTTATATTTTTGTCGCCAGCTCAGGTTAAAAACAGTGAACGTCGTGCAACGTAGCCAACAGCGGCAACCAAGCTGTGGCTAGAAATTTTAGTTATAGTTGTAGCGCTTGAGCAAGTAGTATATTAAAGCTAACACACCGATATTCACTTAAATCAAGAGTATAATTTATATTACTCATGGTCGTTTCTCGGGTAAATGTTCATTGTTCCTTGAGCAGACATGTCAACTTTTTTTGCGATTGAAGTGTTTTTCAGCCCTTACAACAAGGTTTCTCAGTTAAGGGGAAAACGATTGCCCATAGAAGAAACCATATATGTAACAAAGTCTGTGGGGATCTGTTCCGTGGTATTTCACGTTGAGCCGAATACATTAAAAAGATTGGTGACGAGGTCATGTTAAATACAAACGACGACACAAAAACATTTTGCCCCTGTCACCTGCTATTGCTTGCGACACGGAGGTTTCCTAAGAAATAATGGCACACCTTCGCCGTCTCTGAAAATAACAATGCACAATTTTGCCTAGAGAGGTTTCGTCCACAATGCACATAGAACACTTGTTCTTTCTCGGTATTTTTGCATGCTCAAATACTAGCTGCGATGGCTTGGAAAGCGCGTGTTCGACTAATCTTCTTTTTCTAGTTTACTGATATTATTTTCCCATTTCGCATCTGTCTGAACGACAGCTAGTTCAGTATTTCTGAAATTCGCTGCGTGGTAGCACGACTGACATGTAGCAATAAGAGGCTGGCTGCACATAAATGTAAGAAAAGAAAGCTGATATTTGAGCAATGACTGCAAAGTGTGCCACTGTTAACAGTTGTTAATTTCTCTACAACTTATACTCGTGAACTTCAATGGCACCCTTGAAGTCTAACTTATATTCTCTATCTGCATTACTAATTTTTTCTATATGGACTGCTCAAATCGGTAAGCAAAGTAAAATAAGAACTGCTTCATTTTTTTCTAAAGCGGAAGCTGTTATGAGATTACAAGTGTCGCGTGCGCCGTAGTTGTACGCTGCCGGAGCCGGTATGCGTTGCCGCTACTGCGCGAAATCAGGAAACCGCAAATAGGCGCCTTATCTGCATATCTGACTGCAAATGTCGTCTAAAGACGATAGCCTTGCGTCTGAATGGGAGTGAACAAAACGTTTATTTGATGTTCCGCGCAAGAATATCAGTGAATGGTGTTTGGAGGTGCTGCGGTATAGAGTGCCTCGATGCGTGCAGTAGACGTGTACGAGCGCATCGAGACACGTCATACTACAGTAACTGTATATGGGTGAACATATATAGTTACTCTACGTTATACGTAAGACATTAGCTCTATCTGGCAGTTATCTTTGAAAACGAAGCGGGCGGCTTGCACACCCGTCTCAAAGGCGATAAGGTGTAGAACGCAAGTCGACGGACAGGTGCCACACCGTGTCGTCTTAGCAAAGCGTTGGTAACACATATATGCTACCGTCCTTCGAATTACTCATATATGCCTTCTCAATTATAAAGACACACATACAGAATATTCACGTGTTGCTAATGTTGCCTCAGATATGCGCAATAGTAGCTTTTTATTTGACAATCACACAAGTATGAATCCATAAAACTTGAGCAATGTCGGTGGGTCTGCGGATGGGCTTGGATTTTAACCGTTTCGGGTATCGTTTCGGTGGACAACAAACAATTCCACAGACAGACAGACAGACAGACAGACAGACAGACAGACAGACAGACAGACTAAACTTTTGGCGTCGAAGGTCCCCAAGAAAGACTGTCGCCTTTAAAAATTTCACCTTGTGGTACGACACGCCATCGACAAGTTGCTTGTAGCCCACCGTACTGCTTAAGCGTGACAATTTTGTCGTTCGCCGACTAGTCGTTGGATTCTCTGTTTCATCGGCCACGACATCTATTCTCATCCACCAGACCTGGTCTCTCTAGCGCACGCACTTTCGACAGCCTTGCCCGACGAACATGCTCGCAGGCCGCCATTATCCCCGTCGCCAAGGCCGCGTTGTCATTCTTTGCAACGAATACGTCAACCTCCTAGCCATCGTTGGAGTGGACGCGGCTTGTTACACCTCACCGGCCAGCACCTTTGCCGTCGTCTCCACTTCGTCCGCCTCGTTGCCGTATGGGAAGACGACAGTGTTAGCCGTCACAGTGCGCAACATACGCCGTCTAAATGGAGGAGGCGGCCATTGCCTAGGCTGCCATCTCCACCGAAGCCCGTGTCGTACTTAGTCAGTCTAAGCACGCCATCTTGAATTTTGTCTGAGGCCTTGTTTGGCCTACGACACTGAGGCTCCTTCTCCCGGTCTTGCTGCAGGGCGAACCATGCTACATTGAAAAGTTCTGGGTACCTACCCATTCGCGTCACTCCGGCAATGAGTCGGCTCACCAGCACGCTTCAGGTTTTGTCAGCCCAGTGGTCGACTCTGTTGTAAAGTGTTTGAACGCGCACCGGTAATGGCAAGCGCATCGACAGACTTCGAGAACAACGATTAAGAAAAGAACGTTGAGTGAAATAGAACCCTCTGGTTGACATGGATCCTCGGCTTTGCGTCTTTTTCATAGGGTGCTTTTTGACGCCAAAGCGTGATTTTCCTACATCGATTTTGATGTCGACGAACCGGGAATCAACCCATCAATGACCCGAGTCCTTCATTCCTGGTGCGGGCAGCTGCACCGCGATCTATACTGTCATGGAGCGGACGAAGAACGGGCCTCACAGCGAACGATGAATACGAATATCATCAATGGTGTCAATTAGGTGCTCTACGTGAATAAGTTCGAGCTTTCTGAACTTCTACTTTTTCACGGCTTCTACTTCTGATGACCAACGACCTGGCGGCAGACGTCTATTAGGTAGTTATGCAATACGATGACGCCGCGCACAGCACGCTGGCATTGTTCGAGCACCATATCAACGTTCTGAACACCTCTTCTACGCCAGAATCATCTGCAACTCCAGCCGTGGGCGCCGTCTTACAGCGCCGTCTGCAGGTTTTATCGATTATGACTGGTTTGGCTGACCCCATGTCGCAGCCACCAGTACTAAGCTACAAAGTACGTGACGTGGTTGTTATAAAGTACTGGGTGGGCGTTCTTCGGCTTTTGTCTCTTATGCGTGCAGTTCGATATGAGACTCGTATGAAGAGTCATGTCGCATTAGCCGCTTTTGTCGTGAAACGCGTGGTGTATTCGTCGTGTCTTCGGGCTTTTTGCTGACCATGCCTGCAACATTTATTTTATTGGATTTGGCAGTCCATTCGCTCTACTTGGTTGCGATTCGGGACCAGTCGTGTTTGCTTTTTCTGGTCTTGTCTCTGCTGCTGTTTTTACGTGGAGGTATTCGAAGTATAGATTAGCTAGGTGACACCTCAATACGATGCCTGCCGGCTCATGTTCTATCGAGCCGGGGGCGGCTTCCCTCACGTACTCGATGTGGGCGTCACTGCTGCCGGTGAAGCACAGCGTGAGATCGTCCAGTCAAGCAGCTGAGGTGTTCAATATACGTGACCTTCTAGGCCAATCCGATTATTACCAGCTTTACCAGCGTCGGCGAGATGACTGACCCTTGTGATGTGCCGGTGCTTCTGAGGTTTGATTTTGTGTCTGTAGGTAGCCTCCACGTAGCTTGGCGGTCTTGGTAGTGGGAAAGTCTTCAATGTAGTTGTAGGGTGTAAAAGTACAGAGATTTGTGTGAGTTGGTAAGCATATATTGTGGGAAACGCGCAAAAAAAAACAAGGAATAAAGGAAAACAGACAAACGGGTGCCAATACTGACCTCAATTTATGAAGGAAAAAAAAACCCTCACAACATACGTGTTTAATAATACAAGCCATTTCAAAAGCGCGTGCACAAGAATAACGAAAATTCCTTTACCCATGATGATAGTCATTTTGTAGGCACAATTTTTGCAACATGCACAAGAAAGCAACAGACCAGCACAACTAATGGCTGATTACGCATCTTTATGCACAAACATTGATGATAAACGCTTAGGCTATTTGCCGCATAAGATTGTGTGATTTAACAAGATTTTATTGTTACGCCTTTCAGGGTGACAATCTCTATTCGTGCGATTATCAGTTAGGTGGGAGTGGTCACTTTTTTTACTTTTTTTCTGACATCTGATGTTCTATAAAACGAGTGTTTACGCATTGGCCAGTCTGACCAATGTAAACAAGGCCGCAGGTTGAGGGTCATAAATAAACCATTCCTCTTTTGCTCCTACCAAGTTTTCCACTTTATATAGAAAAACACGTGCACATTTTTTCCTCTTTCTTGTCAATTTCACTGTAAGTACAGCAGATTCATTAAATCTTGTTCGTTTCACTCAAGCAACATTGACACCAAATCGCATGGCACCATGTTCTATCTAATGTGATGAACAACTGATGTATCGTAAAACAGCAAAGCGTTCGCATTCTGTGCCTTTCTTTGCTGAATAGTTTTTCTAATTCCACCTATTTATTGTCTTTATAACCCTTTCAGCCACTCTTTGCACATATTTGCCTGGATATGCAGCCGACATTTAGCGATCGGCACCAATTAGCCCAAATGTTCACCCTACTTAAACTGTGGGCTAGCTAACCTATGTCGTTTACACGTTTTCATATTATCCCTCCTAGGATCCCTCTCAGGCGGATACATGAAATACTATGTAGAACTCATGTTTTATGAAGATGGAGCGCAGCGGCACCCGTTACCAGAATTGCAAAGAAAAGATTGAATGTGGTCTCACCCCACAACGCCCACGCTGCCCAAGCATGATGGACTACCGCGAGGATCAAGTAAGGTGCCACAGACATACGTCATACGTTGACAAAAGCTGGGAATTCGACAGTGGGTTGTTCCAAAATGTTAGCGACCTAGGCTAGAAATTTAGAGAAAAAAAGAGCGAGCAAATATCTTTCTGCTTCGGAACTGCATGGTTTCACGCGTTCCCTTGACGATCTTTTTTTTTATCCTCACTTTTGAAAGTTGTCTGCGATCGTGA